TGGATGTGTAAAGGAAAGTAAGATGATTTAATTCCTAATATTGAAAACTCTGCATAGAACAAGAGTGAACCACAGAGTAGTATCCTGCTGAGAAATAAATCAGGGTAGCCAGGATGAAGGCAAGTGGACATCAGCTGTGGAAAAGGGTACAAAAGCATAACAAAAACTACCAAAACAGAGACAGGCCAAGATCAAGCACTTCAAGCATTCCATGTCCATCCCATGCATTTTCCCTTCTATCTATCAAAACCCAAGCACCCACAGGGGCAGGGATCAGCCTGTGTCCACCTCACCTGCCCAGTTCAGAGCTCACTGCAGGCTGATGGTCCCATCTAAAATCACTCATCATTAGCCTAAGAACTGCATTTGCTCTCCTCTAATCAAAAGAGTTTAATTCCAACAGTCCTGGCGCACATTGTGCTGGACCACTTATTAAAGAATCTGCTTCTTTATAAAAAAGGGACTGTTACAAATTCAGCTTTCCTGAGGAAAAACCTCAGCCCTGCTGCTGCAGAGCTACTCCTGGGAGCAGCAACTCACAAACCCAAGTGACACCTGGCACCTGTGGAAAACCTGAGAGAGCACATCTGGGGAGTGCCAATCTACACCACGAAGTGATAAAGGTGTGGATAATAATATTATCTGTTAATAACACCTGACCCTTTTCTAAAACACACATTGCTACTTGTGCTGCCAAAGCCCTTTTCCTTTTGCTCCAAACTCTTTCCATTCCCCCTGCAGGCAGGGCCTGGCTGAAGCTGGTCTTCCCAGAAGGAGTTAAAGGATGGAGTGGCTGCACTCTCTCGCAGAGCCTGGCAGCTGCTCCAGCTCTGCAGAGTCCAGTTTGCAGGGGAGATACAGGCAAGCCAGGAGTACGGGCTGGCAAGCTCAAGTGCTTGGAAAAAAGCACACAAGTGAGGGCTGAGAGCAGCAGCCAAGGAAGCTGTCCACATTCTAGGCACACACCACCAGGCAGCCAGTCCACCTGGAAAATCTGATGCTGTGAAAGGCCTGCAAGTGAATTCAGTCACCAAAAAACAGTGGGAGAATGGTAAAAGGGGAAAAAGCCAGAAGAATGAAAGACTGCATCTTTGAAGTAGTTTTCAGCATGTCTGGATGCAAAGAGTGATATGGAAAGTATCACTTAATTTATGTAATGAAGACCAAAGTTATAAAAGGCACACTGGGATGGATGAGAGCAGCCAGGTTTTCCAGACAGTGGATTAAATTAATTCAGTTCCAGAGTTTGGTTCTGTACATTACCAACCCTGCACACAGTCTGGGTCCAATACTTCCTTTAAACCAGATTTATTTCCACAAATACAAAGCACAGTAATGTAAAACAATTAAAGCTAAAATACTGTTTCAAGTCTTTGTTGCTTGACCAAATATTAATGGTGGTGGTAAATGTACTGAAAGCCCCAATCTTGTAAGTACTTGCAGCTGTCTCTTTTTATTCAAAGCACCCAGCAAGACTCTTGTCAGTTTGGGAAGCACAGCTCATACTCAAAGACTTTCATCCTTTCTTACCCAATCCTGTTGGAATTCAGAGAGAACAAGACCTATCAAAAAATGGAAATAAATATCATGCAGAACATTAGTGTTTCTGTAAAAATACTGTGGGGTTTTTTTGATCAGAGGAGTTTATAAACAGTACCGTGCTATTAAAAAAACCTGAGGTGATGTTAATCAGGATCTGGAAAAATATCTCCAGGACAACTGAGTATTATTTTACTGCAATTGTAATTGGGTGTGCAACAGGTGACTAATCCACTGAATGCTCCTGGCTCCCTATTTCAGCACCACACACAACAGATTCCATCCAGCCTAGGAGCACTTTATATTTATAAATATAAATTAGCAGCACTACGACACAGAGGTGCAGTGAAGGTATGAAGCATTCCTGGCATGGCACAGCACCAGTGCAGCCATCTCTGGTGCTCTGATTTATTTCCAAGATGCATGACCCCTTTTCTGTATCACAGAGCACAGAGATAAAGGCTCAGATTTAGGAAGACAGATGGGTTTCTATGCACAAGAATCAGATACTGAGTGATCCCAGCAGAAGGTAAGTAACCGGATACTCCTGAAGCACAGGACCTAAATTTAAACAGGAAATTAGAGACATTCTCCCAAGTTAGGAGCTAATATTATAAACACTGGGAATCTCCTTAATTAAAAGTAAAATTTAAAAAAATAATATCAATTGGCCTGTAGCATCTCCAGCAAGGAAGAGCCCTCCACATGTAAGTGGTCACTGAACCACTGGTTATTTATAACCCATGGGTTATAAATATATATATAATATATAACCACTGAACCATGGGTTATTTTTCCCATGTCCCACACAACATCCAAAGGTAAAAATCATACCAGGAATGCAGTGAATTCTCCCATGGATGAGACATTAATAAACTCAGTGCTGACAAATCTCAGCACCAGCAGCATCCCAATGCTGACACCTCCCTTCCCTGTCTGAATCAGTACAATTGTTGAAAATAAAGTTGCTCCGGACAAGCACAAGGAGAACCAAATGCTGGACCCTCACCTGCAGATGATGGAGAGCTGGCTTAACTCTTTTCTAACAGAACAAAAAACCTTCTCTAACTAACAAAGCCACTTTTTTTTTTCTTTTTTTTGAACTGGGTAACTGTTTACAAACCATGCCTAATCCAATATTAACACTCACTTTTATGGTCACAGAATTTGTTTTTTCAACATTTGGCAAGAAAAAAGTAAGAATTAAAGTATATTTACAGCGGGACCACAGCACCTCTGACAGCCCCCACTGCCATAGCTCCTAACCACAGACCTCTAGTTCTCAAGTGAAGTCACTGAGCTTTAAAAAAAAACCAAACAACCAAAAAAAACTTCCCCAAGCCAAACACTGACAAAAAACACCCTTCCTTTGAAGTCACATGACACACATTTTTCTGCCACATTTCCTCAATATATGTTAGTAAAGAATAAAAGGAAACTAAAAGAGAAATAAAAACTGTTAATAATCTGTATTGATGATTACTTAGAGCTGCATCTTGGACCTGTTTTTACAAATGAAGACACTTGCTTAACAGATGGATATTCAAAATGTACAGGGCTAAAAGCTGACACAGGTTTCCACAGTGACTTCACCACAGACAGGACCACACTGCAAAACATGAAACAATTTTTCCCCTATTTCAATCCTGGCACAAAACCCAAAACAAACTGGACTTTCCCAAAATATGAGCAGAGTTCTAAGAGGCAATTCTAAGCAGTAACCAGCCATGCTACATCTCAGCTCCCACAAGACCTTCCAGTGTAGTGACAGATTTCTAAAATTAATTTTATTTGTACACCAATGCTTTTCCACATTTCACTGTTCTGAACACCAACCTATTTTTTTTTAAATTTACATCTCCAAAGTGTATTTTTTACACACACACACCCAATGCTCCCTGAGCACAGTAATCATGGCACGGGGTCAAGGATGCACAAAGTCACAGCCAAATCCAACACACAGTGCCTCAGGCATGGGAATGCTCCTTCTCCACACTTTTCCATTTTACATCCATGCATCAATTTATACTCAGTATTAAAAAATTGGCTGGAAAGAAAGGTTTAAGACTATATTCCTCAAAATCACATTGTTCCAGTGCTAAATTTGCCTTCCAGCTGTCAAACTGTAGAAGTTCAACATCTCAAATGCATGGCCACAGCTGACAATCTACTTACTCCATGCAATCCAAGAAAAAAAGAAAGAAGTCGTAAAATAAAAATACTATTCTTCAGTGAAATGCAGCACTTAAAATTCTCATTAAAGCATGCCAGATTCCACTCAGAATTTTTTTTCAAGTTTTCCATGTTTTTCAACATTAGAGTGAGTATTAGAAGTGAATACTTAGGAGTCTTAGTTGTACAGAAATAGGTGACAAAGGAAATTCTGGTTTCAAAAGGCTGTGAATTCACACCTAAATGTGGTGAAGTGTTGCTCTTTTGACACAGACTGGTTACACAGGCTGAACACCAAGGGCAATAACTTTTAAAGCACTAAACATGAATAAAAGCTATGAACAGAGCAGGAGGATGCCCATCCCTGAGCAGTGCTCCTGAGGAACAGCTGCCAGCACAAGCTGCTCACACACTGATGGATGCACCCAGCCGGCCAAAGCCCACAGCTTTTCATACCTACACAGAAAATGGAGGGATTTCTCTGCAGAGACTCAAAATATCAAAAGAAAAAAAAAGGTATGTAGAAATTTTTGCACTAGTAACACTTTTATGATTATATCACTAGACACCTGACAAGTGTTACTCTCCAGCATGACAGTAGTGGGCAACATTCCAGTCAAGATTATGATTAACAGAGAGCCACTGTAATGGATTTTTTCTGACATGCAGAGTTTTCAATAAACAGTTTATAACTCCATGTAGGCTATAGCCAGAAAACACTCTACACTCACAACTAAAGCACCAGCTTTACTGCTCAACTGCTATCTAGTCCAATTAGGAAGTGTGGAAAATGAAGAGGAAGGAGTTTAAGGGCAGTCCTTGTGCTCGTGAACAGCCCTGTGTGAGTTCCATGCCATCCTTAAGTTGCACATCACGCGCACCAAGATATGGATTAGAACCTTATTAGCCAAGCAAATTTATTCCATATTTTTCTTTATGAGCGTGACTTACAGCAGGATGAACCTTTTCTATGCCTCTCAGCGGAAATCTGGGAAACTATTTAGAGTCATCCCATTTTCCAGTGAGTTCTACAATGATGATTCAGCCTGTATCACACTATACATCCTGCAAATACATTGCTCGGACATTCAGCTGTGTGGAGCCGGGATCTGCCACGATCCCCAGTCTGCTCTTAACCCACCACATGACCGGGTCACGCACAAATGAAAGTAATTTACCAAGGTCAATAAGGGGAGAGGGGGGAAAGGATTTTTCATAAGGCGGCAAAAAAATACAAGAGAAACAAACCAGCATAAAATGACCCCAAGGCAGCGCTTGCCCACACTCACATTTGCAGCATGACTTCGTTCAGATACACTCCATCCACCAGCGCCACATATTCCTCCAGGTTGGTCCCATTTCCTCCAGCCAGCGGTCCGAACGTCTTCACCTGGAACAGAAGCAGCAGCAGCACCGTGACACCGAGTCCAGCTCGCTCCCCTGCCGCAAGGCTCTTCTCAAACAATGAGCAAATCGAACCAGGAACGTGTGAGGGGAAAATGAACGCTTACCCAGGTGACAAGAGGGCTCGACATGAACTGCTCCAGAAGGGGTGTGAAGATCTCGTTCTCCATTTTACAAAAAAATGGTTAACATCAATGCAGCTCCTCTGATGCAGAAAATCGAGATAAGTCCTTCACTGCAGCAACTCTCTGGAATGCTCCAAGGATTTAGCTGGAGTGAGTGAACCCCATTTTTACCAAGCGATGCAACACCAACAAAAGTCAGTGCACTGGCAAGCGGGATTTATCTTCCTCTTTCAACAAAAAATGCATCCGAAAGTCCATCTACGCGTATTTCAGCCTTTCCATTGATGCCTCTCCCTTCCTACATAGCGAAGAGGTGGAAGGAAGGAAGGAAAGAAAAGAGGGAGGCTGCCTAGCTACTGGGATTCTGCATCAGACAAAAAAAAAAAAAAAAAGAGAGGAAGGAAAAATCTGCTTCAGCAGCGGCAGCGCCTCAGAAAGGAAGGAGAAATTCCAGCGAAACTCCGCGAGCTCATCCTGCCCCTTCCCCACAAAAAGAGCCCCGAGCCCGGGCTCGGGGAGCAGCGAGGGCAGCGCCCCCCGCCCCTCTCGCAGCCAAGCCCCCCGAGCTGCGGCTGCACCAGAGCCCCGCTGCCCCCCCGCAATGGCACCGACGGGGAACCGGCCCCCGGAGGGATCGGGGGCTATTTTAAATCAGTTCCCTTTTCTATCCCTTCCCTTTTCCACTCAACTACGGCGCCAGAGAGCGGCAGGACCGGCACACGCAGCCCGGCCCCGCAGCCTCGCCCTTCCCCCGCGCTGGCCGCTCCCCTCAGGCTCCGCTCTCCCCTCGCCGCTCCCGGAGCGCCCCCCGACCCCTCCCCAGCTGTTCTCCAGCTGCTCCGCCGCCGCTCCCGCGGCTCCAGCTCCGCTCCGCTCCCCACCCCCCGTCCTCCCGAACTGCGGGGCCACCTCGCCTCAGCCAGCGCGGCCGCGCCGCATCGCTCGCCTCGTCCTCGTCCTCCTTCCCTCCCTGCCTGCCTCCCGCCCTCCCTGCCCGGCCGCCGGCTCCGAGCAGCGGATCCCTCCGCCCTGAGCTGGGTATCCCTCCGCCGCCGCTCGGGGATGGCGGCGCGATTAGAAAGGGGCGGGGCCGCGGCCAAACCGCTGCAGGACTCGCGCCCGGCGCGCGCGCGCGCGATGCGGCTGCGGGCACCGCTGAGCCCTCGGTGCGGCGAGGGGGAAAGAGCCTCGTCCCTTCCCCGCTCCTGGAATAAAGGTGCCCCTGAGGGATGATAATGCTCTTCCAATCCCCCTTTTGGGGGAATAGGGGTGCCCGTGAGGGAGATGCTCTTCCATTCCCTTCTTGTGGGATAAAGATGCCCGTGAGGGGAAAACAGTGCGGGAGGGATACTCTCCATTTCCCTTAGGATAATAACGGTGCCCGTGGGGCAAAAAGTGTAGGAGGGAAAGATGCTCTTTCATTCCTCCTTTGAGGAATAAAGATGCCCGCGAGGGGAAATCTCAACCCAGAAGAATAAAAGTGCCCGTAAGGGAAAAAGCACGTGAGAGAGGGAGAGAGAGGTACTTCCAATCACCCGTGCAATGAAGGTGCCCGTGTGGGGAAAAGGGCGGGAATGAGATGCTCTTCCCTTTGGGGAGGGCACCCGTGAGGGGAAAAGCGTGTGAGGGAGGCAGATGCTCTTCCATTCCTCTCCTAGGGAATAAAGGTGCCCGTGAAGGGAAAAGCACATGAAGCAGGGAGGGAAAGAGGGAAATGCTCTCCCATTACCTTTCGGGGCAATAAAAGTGCCCGTGAGGGAAGGAAAAAGCACGGGAGGGAGAGGCTTTTCCAGTCACGTCTTGGGGGATGAAGGTGCCCATGAGGGGAGAAGGGCGGGAAGGAGATGCTCTTCCTTTCCCCTTTGGGGTATAAAGGTACCCCTAAGGGCAAAGCGTGTGAGGGAGGGAAATGCTATTCCATTCCCCCTTAGGGAATAAATGTGCCCGTGGGGGAAAAAGCTTGACACGGGAGGGATATTCTCCATCTCCTTTAGGAGAATAAAGGTGTGGGGAAAAAAGCACGGGAGGGAGAGGCTCTTCCATTCCCCCTGGGGGAATAAAGGTGCCCGTAAGGGAAAAACTCAGCACGAGAGAGAGAAAGATCCTCGTGCATTCCCCTCATGTGGAATAAAGATGCCCGTGAGGGGAGGAGGGTGGGAAGGAGATGCTCGTCCATTCCCCTCTCGGGGAATAAAGCCGTGAGGGAAAAACTCGGTGTGGGAGAGAAATGACTTTCCATTGCCCGTTTAGGGAGTAAAGGTATCCATGAGGGGAAAAAGTGTGGGACGAAAAGATGCTCTTTCATTCTCCTTTGGGGAAAAAAGGGGCCCATGAGGGAAAAACTCAGTGTACGACTGAGATGTTCTTCCATTTCCCTTTTTGAGAATAAAGGTGCCTGTGAGGAGAAAAACTCTTACCCTCAGGAAGTGGAATCCAGAAGCAGGGCAGGTTTTCTCCTCAGAAGGTGGAATCCAGACACACCCATGTTAAGGTAAAATCCAACTTTCTGGAAAGATTTCATGGGGAATCAGAGGATGACAAGCAGTGTGCTGGCCTGATGATTGTCCCTTCCCTGAGCCTTCTCCTGCTTCTTGTGCTTTCAGTATTCAGTCCTGCATTAATATGCATAGATATATCTGCTTAATACATTATGTGGTTCATTGGCAAAGCATTTTACAAAATCTCAAACTAAATCCAGCTTCTCTTCTGTGTGGTATAAATTAAATTGCAGCAGCATTTTTTCAAATACCTTTAGTTTTGCACACCTAATTAAAAACAAAACAAATCCTACAAAACATTGCAATAAAAGTGACTGAAATAAGGTGCTTTTGAAAAAAAATCAAGTAACAGCTAAACAGACAAGGTTTTTCTTAACCCAAATACCAGATATACATTTTTCCTAGTGTCCAAGATTGGGAAAAAAAAAAACAATTCCAATCATGACTCGTTTCCCAGGATGTCTAAGTAACAGATTAGAAAAATAAATTATGGACCTTGTAATATTAGTCTGTCTTTTGCATTCTAAGGATTTTTTTTTTAATTTAGACAATGTTGCACAGTTAAATGACTTTGATGCTCACAGATCCCTAGAGTGAACTCAGCCCTCCTGTGGAACAAAAGAAATAAGGAAGGGCAAAGGAAAACTCTGCAGTCTTGGTTCTGAATAAGAACCTGGTGATCCATGGGTGAAATAACTGCAATAAATTCCCAGCCCTTCAAGGCAGCCACAAAAGCATTTTTGTACCAGGCTGCCCAGCCAACCGCTGCATTCCCTGGGCTGGCAGCAGCCTGTAAACATGGGACTGTGCCCACAGTGCCATGGACCTTCCCTGCCTCATCCCCTCGTTTCTTCTGGGCTCTAATTAGGCAGTAATGACTTTGGCATCAAGCAATTTCTAGGAATTAGAGCCCAGCCAGTAGATGTTGATAGCCCATGTAGTAGTAACAGCAGCTGGCTCACGGAAACCATTTCATACTGAGATTCCCTAGCTCTAAAAATTGAATTAGATGGTTTTGGATGTTTTTTGCTTCCATCCACATCATGCAGTTGGCCTGTGTGCTCAGCAGTGCTGTTGATCACTGCTCCTGCAGACAGAGTGCTACATTTTAGCTATGAATTGTACTGTCAGCTGTTTTACCTCAATGATTTACAGTTCTCTATTTGAACTGGAGATTAGTACAAGATAAAATTTCAGAGAAGGCATCCAGACGCAGTCAGAGGAGTTTTGTTTTCGGTTTTGGTTTGGGTTGGGTTTTGTTTTCTTTTTTTTTTTTCTCCAAAACTAAGAGCCCTGAAAACCTGTGAAGTTTTTAAAGTTTCCTCCGAGTAGCTGCCACTTTGTCCCAGCCAGTGTGAGAACGTTTACCTCCTTTCAGGTACACACAGACACAGCAGGAGGAAACGCTGCCAGGGCAGGTGTTTGTGCTGGAGTGAGAGCCAGGAGAACCTGGACTGCAGCCACCCCAGCGAGGTGAGAGCTCGCCCCAGGACAGGAAGCTGTCAGCCTCTGATTGCTCAGCCCTTGTTTGACAGACAACCCTTAGAATGAATTTAAATGTTTGGCTTTCGAGTTATTTCTCTGATCTTGAGCTGAGTACGGAAGGCTTTCATTTTCAGCATAGCTGTCAGGAGTCCCAGGAGGATTTTTCTAGGAAATACTTAGAAGTCACAGCTCTACAGGACTGCACTACTGTAACCTGTAGCTTGTGATATATTTGGCTGCATTGTTTTAGCACTTCTTACCTGGGAAGGCTCCTAAAAGAAAGTTTGATGACTGCACTTAGAGTGGTCAATCCCAGAAGTTGAAGAAGTTGAGGACTGAAGTTAGCTGACCCAGAAACAGAGAATAAACATTATTATAAAACTGAATTCTAACTATTCCAAGAATGTACATTCAGGAATATTTTAGAACTAAAAAAAATATCCTTTTTATAATTTGAAAAAATGCATAGAGGACAATCTTGTTCTTTCCCATCTCATTTTCTGGAGCAGCACTGTCAGTATTTAATACAGGGTGTCACCCACTGCTTCTGAGCAAACAGACTTAGAGATGACCTTGTTGTTAGAAGAGCTATGTTTGTTCTTGTACAGGTAAAGCACCCCCATCTCCTTCCTTCTACATCTTCCATTTACCACAAAGACCCTACACAGAAGACATGGAAATGATAAATGAACTGTGCCTAGATCCCAGATCTGCAAATTACAGAGTTACTCCATCTTCTCAGTGAACTTTTTTTTTCTCGTGGCATCATTTCCTGTACCTGCTATTGCAAAATAAAAACCGGAAAACAACATCCAGAAAAAAACCTGATGCCTCGAAGCTGCAGACAGCAGGAAAGGGTGCCCATGCCCAGCCCCACTTACCTTGCCAGGGTTTGTCAAATCATTTCTGGTCAGCCCTGCCCGCAGCGAGCCGAGGGAGGGGACACTCTGGGGAGTAGATGACAACCCAGCTTCCCTTTCTGGCTGATGCAAGATGCAGTGGTTTGCTCTTCCTCTCACACAGAGCAAAGGGAAGAGGTGACGCTGCTGGCTCTGCCTCCCAGCCAGCACTGCCTTTGGGTTAACAGCCTTTGCCTGCTGGGACCTCAGAACAGGGAAAAACAGGGAAAAGTGTGGATGTTTGGGATCCACAGCAGGGTAATGAAACCACAGCCAAAACTGGAATGTTCTCATTGTGGGATGGCTTAATAGGACAGTGTCTAGTGGAACTGCAAACCAATGACAAGGACAGCCACTTTCCCCATCCTGTTTGCTCCCAGAGAATCCCATTTCCCTATCAAACTCTATTCCCTATCCAGATGGGACAATAAAGAGAAAGGGCACTGAGGGGCTGAGCCTTTTCAAGTATGGCTATGAATTCCTAAAGGTGCCACAAATACAGCAGGCTAAAAGTAACTTTTTGTTCCACAGGAGTGGAAAGAAGGGGAGATCCCTCTAGAACATTAATAAAGAACTGAAAATTCCACAACAATTCTTGAAGCTTTCTTCCCTGCCACAGTGCCTGCTCTGACGTGACCAAAATTCCCCATCAACTTTCAGGGAACTTCCTGAGAAAATGGTAAGTAACCTCAAAATGAGGGTATTTTGAGTGAAAAATTAAGAAGAAAATGGTAGGTGCTTGGGGAAAATTGGTGTTGTCCATTTAAGATTTTTTATAGATCCCAGACATCATGGCAAAGAGCAAGAAATTAGCACAGAGACAGCAGACAAAGAATATCCTGTATGGGTACCAGTGTGAAATGCATCAGAATTTCCTGTCAGGCACAATGTTCATTGCAAGAACAGCCATTGACCATTTCTAGCCATGCCTACCTAACATAGCCACATTTTCCTTCAAGGACTACATGGACAGTACTAAAAAGGTGAAACATTTGGTGAAAGTGTCCCATTTAATACTGGGATTCACCTGAGGAGGGAGGAGCCTACAGCTTCTTGTCACTCCTCAGTCAGGACAGGCAGGAAGAATGTTACTGTGGCAGGCCAACTGATGTGATCAGAAATAAATTAAAAAATC